AAACAACACAAGGAGCCAAACAGAGAACCCCTTTAACAAAAGGAACCAGTACAACCTACACTACAGATACTCCAAAAAACCCAAGAAAGTAAGTGAGACCAGCTAGAGCCCAACCGGAAAAAAAAAAAAAAAAGAGGACTACAGAGAGGAAGCACAGATGCACCAACACAACCTACTCGCGTCTTAACCCCCCAGTACTTGGCCCAGCTACAGGCCGTGGAAAAAAAATAGAGTAGAAACATTTCTAGTCGGATGACTTTGGCCGCTCCTGCAGTGGCCCGACCACTTTATGAAGTACTACTGGTGGTTTAAACCGCAAGTACATGGGCCCAGCCTTGCAGAAAGTTTTTTTCAATACCTTTCTCGGCCTTTTCCCTAAGATCAAGTGTAGTATCTGTTCTGATCAGTTTAATTTCTGATCCGTGGTCCATCGGGCCATATGAAAAAAAAAAAAAAAAAAAAAGTTTTTTGTTGCCACAAGCAAAATGCAGAGGGGCCGTGCAGCGCTGGGGCCACTGTTGAAAAAAAAAAAAATGGGCGGCCTCAGAAGTGGTGTGGGTTTCATGTGGACATCCGGGGGCCGATGTATGGTGTACTGGTGCCTTAGTCCTACAAAAGGAAGCACAGGAAAGAGGAAAGAAGAGGAAACATTGTGAGTGCACGAAACCCAGGGACCAGACACCAACACCGGAATGCAAAAATCGGCCCGGGTCGGTTGGTGTTCCCCCATACTATACAATACTATGCATACATATACTAGTGAGAGGATGAGATGGATGAGAAAGATGAGTATATAGATAGATTGAGATAAGAATATAGCTTAGTTAAAAATAATAATTAAAAAATATTAACGCACGCCCTCTTATCTTTCTTCCTCAATGTGAAGCTGGTACAGCTTGGCTCAGGGTCACGTCGAAATTCTGTACCAAATTTCAAAGATAAAATAAAATTAAAAACAAATTTATTATTATTTTTGTCCCGGCGGGGCAAGTGGTCCCGGGCCACTCTGGCAGCCTAGCCTTTTTGAAGTTTCTTGTTTTTTTTCCTTCTTTTTTCCCCCTTTGTTTTTTTTTTGTCTTCTTTTCCCTTGTGAAAAGTTTTTTTTTCACCTTTTCTTTTCTCTTTTTTTGTTCCCTTCTTTTCCCTCACGGTTATCAACACATTGATTGGTTGTTTGTGGGGTGATGATGCCAATTGGTGTGGGCCTGAAGGCAGAGGCTGGGAGCCAAGACACTTTTGGGACGTCATCGGTTAATGAACCAAGTCTGGCGCAAGAGTCACAGGAAATCAAGCTTGCGGCAATCGACCAGAAAACGCCGAACCTTGTGAAAGGATCTGCTATTGCAGCGGTTGCTCTCGCTGCGGTCACAGCACTTGCCAACCTCGATGTGGTTGCCCAGCATCAGGTCAGGGGCTTGGAGTGCCATTTGCTTCCCCCTTTTTTTTTTTTTTTGGCTGTTAGTCATGAGTAGGAACCCTGATGGAATCAGATGGATACAATAATGTCCAGGACTTTTCTTTCTTTTTTTTTTTTTTGGAAGGCCTTTGTGCAAGCCTCTATCCCAGTGGTGGTAGGAGAACCACTGGGATTGAGGCTTTGCCTGGTGGGCCGCTCCATCTATTGGTGGGGAGCCTCACCTGCTGGAAATCGGGTCCAGCGTCCTTGAATACATCTTTTTTTTGCTGAGAAACAGGCTCAGCGTCCTTTAGAAGTACATAGGTGAAAATAAGAAAAACCATGATCATGAGACGTACCGGGAAAGACCCCGTTGCTGGAAATCAGGTCCAGCGTCCTGCCCCTCTCCTGACATGCGGCCAGGCTCAGGAAAACGGAAGGAGCCACTGGGGGGCACTAATGGGAGCCTCCTTCCATTTCCTCACTTGACCCCAATCTCTCGCTGTGCTCTCCTTGAATATGTGCTGGGGGCTGAGCCCAGCACTCGGTCGTTCCTCATTTTTCAGAAGCTCTTCAGATTTTCTGGGAGATGCTCGGCTTCACTGTAGATGGCGCCAGATGGATGAGTCAAGCAGCGCTTAGGTAGTTACTGTTTCCTCCAGGGACAACGGGTGAGGGGGGAAAGGGTCTGCAAATTCCTGGGCTGATCGTAACGGGCCCTGAGGGTCAACCTTTGTCCACTCATGAAAATGCAGCTGATAATCCCTTTCAATCTCTGCCTGTTGTCCCCCCTGCGGTCCCACCTCGATGTTCCCATTGGTGTTCCTGTTGCCCAGTCCCATCTCCTGCCCAGCTTACCTTTGCCACCCAGCCCTCCCTCCTCCCTCCCAACCAGTCCTCGCAGAAGTGAAAGATGATTCTATTGATATCGCCCCTGGTGTGTACTTGGTTCAACTTTTCCTTAGCCGCCCCCCACTGGGCTGTAATCTCATAATGTACTAACCGCTGCTCCCTCTACTTCCAGGATACACCTTCTCCACCATATTACCCACAGGACGGCGCGTCTACCCAGGCGAACATGTTAGATTCGAATGTGTTTCCTCGAATCTGGGGGTAATGTCCGAGAAGTATGGCCCTCCAGTCCCATGGCCATGATGAGCCTGGCACCATGTGCCGCCAAATCCTGTCGCACCACCTCCATAGCAATACGGCCGCGGGGCACTGAAGCAAGATGTGCTCTATCGTCTCGGAGCGCTTTTTTCCGGTAGCATTGGAGACATCTGTGGCACCATGGCAGTGCCCACCCCTGTTGCTCCAATTGTGTGTGCTCTATCAGCCCATCATTGGTCGGCAGGCACTGGTGCCCAATTTGCCACTGTAGGGCAGAAATTTTTGCCGGCCTCTTTCCATATTCTCCAAACCACCTTATGGGCTTGAGCAGGCCACGGTCTATGTTGAGATGGCGATACGATCTGTCCTCTACTACGTCTCGCAGTCTGCGTTTAGATCTGAGCATTCGGTATATTGACTTGGTTTTTAGGTTGGCTAGTGCTATCATCTTCGCGTTTCCCTCCCTTCTTGAGTTTGTCGGGTCTTTCCGGGACCAACACCACTCATCGGGATCGAAGGGGAGATCCTCAATCGGGGTCATTGGCCGGTAGGCCCTCCAACCTCTTCCCTCATCAATCACTTTGACATGATATACTTCCTTTTTCTCTTTCCAGATGAAAGGTTGTCGGCTCCCTCGTAGTTGACCGTTCTCCTGGATGGAAAAACCTTCGATCAGCACTTGCGTTTGGTCTACTAGGTGCACGTGCCGTACTTGATTTTTGTGGCCAGGTAGCCGTACCCAATCTCCTTCTGCCAAGCGGGGGCCCTTCCGAAGGGTGATATACCAATTGAGAGGGAAGCTACTAATGAGCTGGTCTAGTGCAGATTATGTGAAGTGGGAATACCGCAACCATCTGCGCATTCTTTCTGCGCTCTTCCATTCTCCGCATCAGTGTCCCAGAGGTCTCCCACCCTCCGGGCCCCGTGTTTCACCCAACCCTTCCATGGAGGGTCCGAACTACACCTCACGTGACCAAAGGAGTCCGTAATCAGTCTGTTACCAAACAGGGGCTGTATGAATATTTCCTCCTACCTTTCCGGTGTCGATCGATTTGGAGGGGGGAGCTTTCTCCATGTTCGCAGGAGACGGAGCCACTGCTCGTCCGTGGGGTCCCTGTCCCTGTACTTCCATAATGTCAAGGACTAACCTCTTTCCAAAAACCAAAAAAAAAAAGAAAAAAAAGGAAAGAAGAAAAGATAATAATATTTTTGATGATACTCAATGAAAAATGAACAACTGTGCGTGGCATTCTCTCTCTCTCTCTCTCTCTCTCTCTCTCTCTCTCTCTCTCTCTCTCTCTCTCTCTCTCTCTCTCTCTCTCT